CATTCATAAAATTCCTTCTGCTCCTGTATCGATGAGGCTTCTACTGGTAAACAATCGCCAACCAGGACTTGTATAATTGGTAGCTGTGAGTTTTTTACGATGACCGTGTTTAAATGTCTATTTGAGGGTTTTTTTAAAACTTCCGGGGTCTGGACCCTCCCTTTCACAGGCCCCTCTACTCGTTTAATAAAGCTTTCCTTTCAATCTGTGTCTTCTGGGTACGCGGGATGTTTATTTTCAAATTTTCTTTTTGGGCCTTGACCTTCGAGTTTCGATGAGTTAGCTTGATATTTTCTTTCCCCCATAAGAGCGATTTCCATTTCTGGTTTCCTCATTTGAAGATTTCCTTCGGGTACTTTGAGAATATGTTTCCCCTCTCGCTTTTTCCGCTATTCTGCGATTTTGAAACTTCACCGCCAATTCGAAAGAGTTCCTGCAATGTGCTTGGGTTTTCTAATTTCAAAGTAGTCTTGACAGCGGTTAACAATCTTGGTAATATTATTTCAATAATCTCCGCATCGGGTTCTTCCCATACAGCATATCCGTTAGCTTATTTTCGTAAATAAAGTCCGTCAATTCTGCTATATCCCGTTGATAGAAACTAATAGTTCGGCTTCCAGCCGTGCGCGATCTTTCACTATGGGGAAGGCCTTTACTAACGATTTTTTGAAATTTCAAATATATATGTCGGCTTCCAAATTCCCCTAGTAAAAATTTGCCTATATTTTCCCACCATAGCGCGGCCTGTCCTCTTAGTGCTGATGTGGCGATGGCAACTTTTTGTCTTTCAGGAAAAGGATAGAGCTGAAAGTGGTTTTCTAGAGCTTCTAGAAATACCGCCCACCGATTTTTTCGTCGTCGAAATGGACGTTTGGCTTGATTGACGCTCTCAAAGTCTGGACCAGGTATCCAATCCTTCTAACTGGCTTGTCATTCTTGGTGTTGTCCAGCGGCTTCCATCCAATTTTTCGGCCATTTCAGTTCGATAAGTTGTTCGGGGCGCCAATTAACGTTGCGCGCCTTCAACTTGCACGCATCCAAGAGGTGACTGTGAAACTGGATAAATACAGAGTCTTGTGAAGGGTTTAAGTCCCTTTTTATTCAACGTAAAAATTACATTGCGTGCTCTTGACGCTCACAGACTGCGCCAACTCGGCGGTCAAATAAAATAATAACCTGAAAGAAACTAAAGACAGACTCTAACTACGAGCTCTCTAAAATAACTAACTCACCGCGTTTTACAATACCGCTGCTAATTCAGCAGACTTGAAGCTCACTTGAACGATTAACACTATTCCCGCCAAGCAATAGGCCGAAACGCGGGTTCTTCAATTTCTCGCTAACTACCCTCCGCGCTCGTGAAGTAAGAATATCACACACGAACTTGTTCCTTTCTATTTAATCATAATACTTCCGCTGATAATTTGAATCCTTGCGCGTTCTACTAAATTTACATATTCGGCATTGGCAGTTCCAGGGAAAGTAAGGCTTGACAGGAAAGATAGTTTAAACTTAAAATAAATGTTAGTTAAAATAAATATAAACCCTACACCTCATAGACCTATGATTTGCATTTCTTTGAGTCTTGTTTCGGCAACGAATTAAGAGTCCTTTACTTCTTGAATATCTAATCTCCTGAATCGGAAGTGAATATTCTGCGGGTATTTGAGAAGATAATAAAGAACGAACTCCCGCTGAAGAAATCTGTAAAGTCATAAGTTATTTTTGATACTGAAGACATGAAAAATTTGCAATGCCCTCACCCGGAACCTGGACCTCTCGAATACGCGCCGAGTGTGCTACCGTTACACCATGAAGGCAAGCAGAAATAAAGGAGAAAACACCTTCTAAATCTCTTTATACTTTATGCAGAAACTAAAAGGACGTGTTTAAAAGGCAATAATTTTGGCGGGGAAGATTTGCGTTTTTTCCTTTCTTCTAATGTGAACGGAACTTCTTCAGTGAGTGATTGTAGTTCTTAGTTCGTTGTGGCTGTAATAATTGCTTCCGAGTACGTGTTGTTACGGATAGAAGTATATGTAGCAAATGGATTCCTTAGATGATGGTGCTCTAAGTTCATTAAGTTCGATTTCTTGACTAGAAAATCAAATATCTCAGTTCTTTCACCTTACCTTCTTGACTAACTTTCACTTCTCTACGTTCCTTTAATGCATTTTCTTGGCCAGCTGTTGTTGCAACCTGTTCCGCAGTTGGTTCCTAATATCAAAGAAATACCCTCCTAGTACTGAGATATCGTGATTAGAGAGCTTGTGTCTACCTCTTTGCTTTTGTAAATAGTCAAGGATCTTATCAATATTTAGATTAACGTTTTGAACTCTAATATAGGTAGGTACTTCAGTGTATGTTGCCAAATAATTTGAGGAATGAATAGAGATCTCTTGATTATGCTCAAGTACATTCAGATCTGGAGATTGAGCTTGAGCAGAGGATTCTAAAGCTATGGATGTACTGGAGATGAAATTTTATGAATGCGTACCTAAATTATTAATACCAACAAGCAAACCCCTTTAATTTGTAAAATTCTTTAAGAAAATACTCTCGGAAGAATCTGTCACCTGTCATTCTGCGATGAATGCCATAAAAATGTCACAAGGACGAGTCTAGGGATAAAATATTGGCGGATAATATTGCAATAATTTCTATTTTGTGTTGTAATTATAGGAGATAAGTCATGTTTATAGTCACTTCAAAGCAAATTTAATTTACAGTGTGGTAAAAACGTTCTCTTTTTGTGACCGTTTTATAGGGGATGAAATAAGATTTTAATGACAAATTCAATTGTTATTTTATTTTAATATTTTAGAACTCAATATTTAATCTTTCAATTGTTATAGAATATTTCTGTAATCAATAAAAACCATTGTTGTAATGAAATTTAACATTACATATTAAGTAGTAATATTATTTTAAGAGGAGTAAAATTAGCTTAGCTTTAAGTTTAGTTGTACTACTACTAGCGTAATTTAATTTATCATAATTTAATACCTAACAAAATTATTTATTTAATACATGTGAATAATTTATGCATCTGATGTTTTGAAACTTTTGCTTAGGAATAACAACAACATATTCCATAAATTTAAATATGAAACATTAATATGAAAATTTAAATTAATAATTTAATATACTTAATACTGAAACCGGTGCTACTTTGGTAGACGGTTGCACGGATTTTTGGCGATTTACGTTGGCGCAATTGTTGGCGCGGTTTTTACAATCGTCAGCCATCTTGAAAAATGCTGTCCTTACGTATTTCACGCATAGTAACGTATTCGAAACTTTAAAAAAATAAATATCGTTAAAAATTTTTTGCAGAAAACGTTGTTTCTTAAGATGGCTGGCAAATGTAAATAAATACATTTACTAAGAGTATGAAATGCTAAAGTAAGGTTAAATTATTATTTCATATAAATAGAATAAACACCGCTATAAAACATTGCGCCACATTTTGTTGGAAAAAATATTATTAAATTGAATATGATTAAAAACATTATACGAACGTTTAAAGAATTAAATTTTTCAACTTAATTCAAACTTTAAAATAAGTTTTATAGGATTTAATTATTTAACATTCAAACATATGCGGCAATAAATATCTCAGGAGTTTTTGAAAACATTGTATTAATTTTTTAATAAAAATTGAAGTATGCAATTATAAAAAGAAAATTATATACTTACATTTTTTAAAGTATTTTACCTGTCATATATTGATAAGTACGACAAAAAAAAACTGTCTTCTAACGATCTTCATCTGTGATCCACATCTCTCACATTTCATTGAAGAAGCAATTAGCGAGGTTTCCTCCAAAAGGTTAAAATAAATTTCCTCTGACCCTTGTAACAATAAATAAATCTTTGATTAGGGAAGTCAGGTTGGCCAAAATAAGGCCTCAAACGGCAATTTTTTTATTCCGATGTAAATAATTCTTGGTAATTACCAATAACGAAACGGACACATCCATTATTCGCTTTGAAATCTGAGGAATTCGAAGAGATGAATAATAAAATTTTAAAATGGCGCGGTAATGCACAAATATTCAGTAACCCATCAGGGATAAGATCATTTAAATTATTTAAATAATCATTCATAATAAATCATATTAAAAAATGCAAGATTAAATTGTATTTTAATATTTAACCCATAAATAATGTTTAAACATTAGATTAAATTTATAGACATTAGCAGCAATAACTTTTAAAATAATGTGACTCATTCATTACATCATTCACAACATAAAATTCCATAAAATATCATAAAAATAATATTTTTCTGATATTTTATGGAATATTATGAAAAAAAAGAAATAAAAATAAAATTTTTATTTAAAAAAAAATGCAAAAATTAAATTCATTTTTATTATTTAGAGTCATAAATATATTTAAAACACGGAATTTATGCATAATAACGGCATTATTTTTTTAATAAATGACAACAAGTATAGTTCCATAAATAACTTGTCCAGCAATGGGTTTACCATAAGTCGTATCGCTCGCCAAAAAAAAATCGCCAAAAAACCGCCAAAATCCGTGCAACCGTCTACCAAAGTAGCACCCTGAAACCTATATCTAAAGATAGACAATTTTTTATACTACAGGTTTATTCAAAAATTTATATAAGGTACCTAATTACATAAAGTGAAACCTAGTTTAAAAGCACATACCTAATTGTTAGTAATACAATCTGATTTTTGTAAAATTCAAATGCAGAACAGGAATGACAATAACTCGCAGGTCGACCAACGACTATGGAACTTGTTTTTATCGATAGTTCTTCTCAAGGGCAATCGAATGGTATCAAATTTATTCACTTGAAAACACGTCTTACGCACTTTAACTCTCTCAGTCTAGAAGCTCGAAAAAATGCCCTATCATACAACTTTATACAGCAGAAGGTATGGTCTACCTTGCCATAGAAAGACGTTTTATAAAGGGCTGATATTCCCTCGTAAGATGAATAATCTACTCATATTGTGTTCCAGGGTGTCAATTTGAGTGGTGGACAAAAGCAAAGAATAAGCATAGCAAGAGCCTTATATCAAGACGCTGATATTTACCTATTGGACGATCCACTGAGTGCTGTCGATTCACACGTCGGTGCCCACATTTTCAAACACGTCCTGGGTCCTCAAGGAGCATTAAGACACAAGGTAAGCATAATTCTGTTTATATCTGTAAGTAAATACAAAGATAAAACTCTCTGTCGTACTTGATTTTACAAGAAGGAGTAAAAATTGCAAAATACTTATTTAGCATATATTCAAAAGAGGAGACTAGTAACTGATACGTAAAATATAACAAGCTTTCGAATTAAAAGTTCGAAATATAACTATTATGACAGCAATGTGCTACTTCATTCCTTGTCATTTTTGCTTTTCACCTATGCAGTGTAAATAAAATTGCATTCTTCTGCATAAAATGGATTCTAAGACCAGATTTAAAAAAATCTGCGACTCTAAACACAGCTTGCCTACTAGCGCATTCAAAACTAGTAATCAAACATAATGGATATCCTTATGGTAATAACTATTCGATTGTTGCTCGAATCTCTCTTCCATCACGGCATAGGCTTCTTGAGCCGCACTGAAACTTTATCCTTTCAAGTAACTTGTGTGTTGAAGATGTATTGTCAGATGATTGATTTTTGATCATTGTTGATGGTAAAGAATTAGTGGCTCTGCCTGAAAGCATGCAGACGGAAATCATAAGAAATGCCGATGAGAAAACACATTCAGGAGTAAAATATATTAAGAAAAGCATTATTTTATCCCTAAAAGATAGAAAATAGAATCTATCATAGTAAACTGCGTTGTAGATAGAAAATATCATAGCAAATTGCATTCATTGTATTCGTGTGAATTATAAAAAGGGAAAGAAAGAAGGACTCGTATATCCATTGCATAAAGATGATGTGCATTTAGAAATATATCGTTTAGATTATCTCGGACCTTTGTGAGATCTAGTGTGTTTTGGAAGCATGAAATAGTAACTATATCTACTTAAAGTTTTCGTACTTGGCGACTTCTCGCACAGGCGTGAAGATGAAAACAACAGGGAAAGGGTGAAAAAGACCATTTTTATCACAAACTGTATAACAGAAAGTACGGACTTATGTGCTTTCACAAAAACACCGATCACTTGCAGTGATAACTTAATTGATAACAATAAATTTAAAAGGTAGAGATGTAGTGCTTCGCTACACAATTCAACACACAATCTAACAAGCTGACTTAGAAACTTACACCGACGATATACTAACTAGCCGGCCAGCAAGGAGGTTAGAAGAGATCTCGTAGCTGGTTAGGAGTTAGGAGGCTAGTTAGGAGGCCAGCAAGGAGGTTAGAAGAGTGTGCTGACCACTACACCACGAAGGGATGTTAAGATGGCGGGAGATATACCTTATAACTGTCTAAAGGTATAGGCTCCTGTTCAGTTTTACTAACAGCTATTTTAATTTTTGAGCCTTTCCTAAATTCTTTAACTTCCCTCACATTTCCTCGCCAGGATGCAAATTAAATATATGAACGACAGTATTTAAACTTTCGAGACGAAAAGATTACACAGAACTTGATTTCGCCCGCGAAGTGCATGCTGCCTGTTTTTGTCCTCCAGATGCATTCTGGCCGGCAAGGAGGTTAGAATAGAGTAAGGAGGCTATCCTTGTAATTCTAAAAGTTAGATGGCCACCCTTTACAACTATATTTTTGACTCGCCAGTAAAAAAGTATTTCTATTAGTGAATCTATCTGAGCAGTCTGTCAGCCATTCATTAATTGAAGTTACGTTGCAATTCATTAACTGTTAAATTTTCTGTGATCCTTTTTCTTGAGTTTGAGGCTTGCTTCATTACGAACAGCTACTGGATCATGAGGCCTTTTGGACTGGATTATACAAGATTCCAGTAAAGTGAGAAAGTGTTATCGGTCTAAAAGGAGCAACACTTCTTTAAAAGATTTCTTAAATGACGCGTAAAATAAAAGTCTTGGCTGATGGCAAAATAATGAAATCTGTTTCTAGCGTTACCTTTCTATAAATATCTTCCTATCTGATAAGATATCACAGATTTTGATGAAGAACCTACAGGTACAAATAGAAACTAGGTCAACAGCTCTGTAGTACCACAGGTGATTGAGCTATTGCTGAACCTAGCTAATCGTTAAGCTTACTCTTAAGGACCTGCCCACCAGCGGCCGGGCGGTAAAGACGCTGAACACTGGTAGTTCGGTCCGAGGTTCGAATCCCGCGAACGGGCTGGCTGCATGGGCGTTTTCGTGGTTTTCCCTATACGTAACGTGTATACGAGCCAGTTTTCCTTAGAAAGTCCTCCCTCTCCTTAGGCAGATAGCCCTCGTGTGCTTTGCCATAATTGAATAATACAATCCAATCTTCTTAAGGACCTACAGATGAAAGCACTGTTATCTGCGGCTTTGGGGTATGTGCAAAATCGCATGAATGTGAGGCAATATTTTTTTTTTTTTTTTTTTTTTCCCAACAGTTTTTCAGAAGTTCAAAGGAAGTCATAACGCATTTCACAGTATTTCGTGTTTTCAAATTATTGAAAGCAGCCTAGTAGCTATCAGAAGACACACACACAACACACAGACAAAAAAAAAAAAAAAAAAAAACTCCACCTATCCTATAAACGTCGACAATATTGCACTTTATTTATTATTTTGTTTTGATATCGCTATTTTTCTCTCATTCTTTAATGTCCAGATTAAAATATTAATTCTAGCTCTCAAGGCAGCTAACACACAAGGTGGGATACCCCGATAGAATAGGCAAGAGTCCACTACAAAATCGTTCATAATAAAGTAGCTTATATCAAAAGCTTCTGAACTGAGTTCGGTGAACATTTAAAAAATTTTTAGTACCTAAGTATACGCAGGCGATATAAAAAAGTGCATTATAAAAATATACGTTCAAATTTGATGTTATACATATATTTACCTATTATAGCTGACAGCCATATCTTATAAAAAATATTTCACATTCATTTGTCAAGTAGAGTGCCATGTTAATAATTTCCGCATACAAACTACGGTGGCATACAAAAGTTTGCTATCCTCTGGCTTATATTCTAAATTACAGAAAATTTACATATTTTACGCGAAAAAGTATCTAAGTATCGCAATAATCTTGAAATTTGAGTGTCAATAAACATTGATTTTGTTGTTTTCACTGGTTTTACAGGCCTTGTTTCTATTCTAAAAATGTATACGAAATATAGAAAGTATTTTTATTTAATTTTAGATGCTGAAGCTGAATGTGAGGATTGTCGAATGATGCAAAAAGTCGATATTCCTTAAAATGGTTTTAGACATGGAGCTAGAAATAAGATATTTCTAATATATTTAGGCTGTTTTGTCATGGGCTGTATTTGTCGTGGGTATCCCGACATCGCAATGTCACATTTCGTGATATTATATGTGTCCATATGTACAATGTTCTATTTTTCGTATATCTTGAGAATGATGTTTAACTGTCTCTCTACCTGCGATGTCATTTGCTATTTATAATAATTTTTCATTCCATTAGATGCATTTTTCTATTGGCTTTAGAACATTTTCTATTGGTCTGCTTTCGGAAAAGACAGACAAAAAGTAATGAAAATTATAAAGTAAAAAAGGAATATTTATATAGTATATAGTATTTCTGGAAAATAAGCTTATTACAATTTATTTACAAATGTGAATTTTGATAAATAAATCTATATTTTTAGCTAGTATCGATTTATTTAACATCGCGAAGTAATTCTTTATTACTATTAGGAATACGATGTTTGTTAAATCATCATGATTACTTATTTCTCAGACTCGTATTCTGGCCACTCATGATTTATCTGTATTGCAAGAAGTTGATACAATCTATCTTATGGCTGACGGCAAAATAACGGAAACTGGAACATACAAGGAACTGCTAGAAAATAAAGGAGAGTTCGCTCGCCTTATTGAGGAATACAGCAAGAATCAGATGGACAGCGACTCCGAAGAAGTTGGGGAAGATAGGTATTGATTTTCTTTTTATTTCTTAAAAGAAAGTTTCAAGAAAGCCAAAAGAAAGATCTTACGTAATTTTTTTTTCAGTTCAGATAGTGTATTGTAAACGAGTCATCTTCTGTGAAAAATAATATACACCAAAATTGTAAGGTTCTTCTTGAAGCGAATGTGCTAATAAATTACAACTCTTTTCCTTTTCTTGTAATCTATTTTAAATTTTAATGTGAAGAGATTTTCTTTAGCTGTTTCTTCCTTTCTAGTTGTTTCTTTCATTTATGAAGCAAAGAAATGATTATCAAGTATTTTATAAATGATCTATTTTTTTTAAGATTGTTCTATAATACAATCCAATATATTATATTCCCTAGCGCTTCCCCCCCAAAAAAAAGCAATAATTCTTGTTCATATGTGCTTATTATACTACCTTCAGAAAGGGCTTCAAGAGTAATGAAAATACTTTGATTATATTTATTTTTCTACATTAGACGGGCCCTAAGTGGAGAGAACAATAACCTGTTTCTCTTATGCGTTAAATATTAATTTTCTTTCCATATTTATAATTAACGTTAATTATTATTTTTATTGCTTTTCAAGTTCTCTTGGCAGTTCGAAAGCGGAAAGCCCCGATCCTATGAGGATGTCTACGGAAGAACTGAAAGCCCAAATGAAAAAGATGGGTCATCGACTCTCCAGAACATTATCTCGAGCTATCTCTGAAGATCGGGAGTCCAAAAAGGTTCAGTTTATCGAAGATGAGAAAATGGAAATGGGAAGTGTAAGTACTGTTTGATGCTACGCAGCTGCATATCGTTTGCTATGCTTTCTAAAATCTAATTCAAAGCATTATTAAATACTTCAGTAGTAAGATTTCGTCTGTATCACTTGTTCGCTATGGTAATTAGCGGAACAACACAGATAAGCATCGATTCAAATCGCGGGTAAAAATTCGGACGTTTTGATTTCGTCTGTTTAAATACGCGTCCAAAAAGGAAATACGTGTTCGAAAAGTCCTCTCGTGTAGTCGCTAGTAAGATATGAGGAACAGACGACTTCTGGATGCCATTGTCTGGAACATTTTCAATCAAAACTAGGATGCTGTGTGTGGCAGAGTCATGCTTTACAAAGCTCTGTTACCAAGAGCAATTGCTTTCATGCATTGTCTCACACCAATGTTTCTTTATATGCTTTTCCCTTCTCCCCCCTCCCGAAGAAGAGGAAACCTTATTTTGAAAGTTTTATTTGTATCGTTGCGACTAACCGGCATTAGTATGTTCAAATAATTTTAATATAAAATATGGATACCAACCTCGGAATAGGATATGTTGATAATCGCTCATGTATTCAAAAATCATGCGGAATTAAAATTTTACACAGCTCGATATCTATTATAACCCTTTAGAAATATTATTATTACTAAAGAAGAAAAGAATCTGAGAGATTTAAACATCTGTTTATTCATTTCTAATGAAAAAAAAAAGCGAAATTTATCTGGAGAAAGCAAAACGGGAAAAAAAGAAAAGCTGTCTAGAGAAGTTCGAAACTTTATATTCCATTTAGTCCTACTAGCAACTTTAAGAATAAGATGGATAATCATCAAAAGAAAAAAAAGGGGGGTCTGTAAAGCTTAAAATTGTGGCTACGAATTGTAACACATGCTTGACACTGTCCGCTGATAGGATCATGTACATTCTGTAAAATTCCTGACGTGTTTTTGATTTCCGACACAGCTGCAAAAATGCATGCGCAGGATCCACACCACTTTGAACGCAAATGCAGTACACCAGTCTTCTGATGTAATCGTTGACGAAGTAATGGAGGCATGACTCGATTTTACAAGCTAAGTATTTATAATTGACTGTTATAAATATTCTTCATATAAGCAATTTCGCGGCCAAAAGAAGATTACATTTCCCACCCTGCGTTGCTATATGACTTGGTTTGTCTTTATGCCACTTATCTCTTTCAAAAATTTCTACACTCTTAGCTAAATCACCTGATGTATAAAACAATACTATGTTTTTGTAAGTGTTGCAAGGAAAAAGGAGGACAGTAATAAGTTTCACACACAAGCTTCTGATTTTAAAACTAAGTAAATATATTTTAATGTACAAGAGATGAATGGTAAGTTATCTCAATTTAAACCTTAGGCTGTCAGATGAGTATTGATTCTGATCATCGTAAGATTTCAGAGTTTCTTTCTGTTAATCAAAAGAATGACAGCTTCAAAAAGTAGTTTAAGTTTATTAGTTTATTGTTTTACTTATCAGTTTACCTCAATTAAATAAACTGACTAAACTCTCTATTTCCCAAAGGTGAAAGCCGGAGTCTTTTTGACCTACTTCCGTAAAGCGACGCTGTGTCTGACGTTCTTGACATTGCTGAGCCTCATCGCTTGTCAAAGCTTTGGAGTAAGTTCATAAATAATAAACTATTTGCAGTTTTGTTTCTATGGTTTCATGAAAGTAATTTGCTTGCTTTTCCACCAGATAGGATCAAATGTTTGGTTGAGTTTTTGGAGTAGCGACGAACTCCTTCCAGATGGATCACAAGACACCCAACTGCGAGACTTACGAATCGGAGTCTATGCAGCTTTAGGATTGTCAGGAAGTGATTATTATTTAAATTATTTTTGTACAATTAAATGTTTTTAATAACGGTCAAAGAATAAAAGGTACTGCGTTCGTTTAAGTACAAATTCGCATTATCACATCTAATAACATGCAAATGAAATTGCAAATGAAGGCAAAATCATATTACTTAGAATTTTCTCAATTATTAGAGATATTTCAGACAGCGTATTCGAAGCGTATTAGATA